GGGAAGAAAAGGCTAAACCAAGGTAAAAAAATTAATTGAGCTGAGACATTAATTTCAAGATCATGGGTTTTGACAGAATCTGTCTAATTCAAATCCTTCTGCAATGAGTAATATTCAGGAACTACTGCTCTAAGGGCTTTAAGCATTTAATTTATGTTAAAAAGCAATAAATGTGAACAACCCAAAGGGCACCAAAATCATGAGAAATATGCCAAAATTATCACAGAGTTGGGCCAGGATAGTGTAAGGCAGGAGATTGGATGCAGGAGGAAAGGACTGTGATCAACTAATGCTTTGGGGCATAAAATTCATTACCACCAAGGGGCAAATGGACTCAACCTCTTGTCTCCAGCTGTTAGCAATCTGCAACAGGGACATTATGGACCATCTTTTGACCTTCTTCTGAAGTATCTGATATTGGACACAGCAGGAGATGAGATATTGAACTTGCAAGGGCCACTATGATCCACCATCACATATCCTATGCTGTCAGCAATTGCACACTCTCCATTTGGCACTATTCTGATATAGGAGGCTACATTTCTTTTCAGGGGAAGATGTATTGGAACATTCAGCCAATTATTGGATACCTTTCTAGGTTATTTAGAAAGGAGAAGATAAATCCTGCCATTCCAAAAGTGATCGCCTGAAATGGATGGCTTATGGGGCCCCATTCCTCAGCCATAACAAGCACTGCAGTTCTGGAGGGGGAGACTGCCAGGCATTAGACAGTCTTGGGCTCAAGTCCCAATAGAAGCTCATTTGGATTTATAGCCTCACCAGGTCCTTAGAGTTGGATCCCGTGGTGCTGTGGCACCTCGCCCCATGCTGCCATCCCAGCCTGTTCCTCTGACATACGGACTTCGCGCCTCCTGAGCGCTCTACCAGTGAAGAGCTAGGTTTGCCTGGCCTCCACCTTGCAGTCTGAATCACAGAACCGCATGCAAAAGAGTTAAACGACTGTAACTGTTAAAAGACTGTAGCTGGAAACTGCTCCAAACTTGGCTTTGGCCAAGATAGGCTTCACAAATGCATGCTGAAGTCAACAGGAGCTTCTGAGTTCTTATGTCTTTGAACATCTGGCTTCTTAGTTCAAATGTGGACACAGGACAGTTAATACAGAGTAATTTATCCCAGACTTTACTCCAGAGTAAATTTACTCAACGGTCAGCAGCGGACACCGAGTCTCTCCCCCAGGCTGGCTGCCTACAGTAGGAGATATGCCTCCTCCTGACATTAGATGATAGTGGGACAGGTTTGCACTGAGGAAACAACTACCCTGGGGCAGGAGGGAGGGGGATTAAGCAGGAGAGCAGACACACAGCTGAATCACTGATGCAAGTCACCCTCCTGAGAGGTAACTTTATCTAGGTGTAAGGCCACATGCTACACCTATGCCACTTTTACAATGGCATAAAGTCAGTGTACTCCATAATAAAAATGCCATGTGTGCACACTCTTAAATGTCTAAACACATACTTAAGAGCCAAACTTTGGGACTTATTTCTTGAAAACAGCTGAAACAGCCATCCCCCACTCACTCAGAGTCTTCCACCAATGCTGGAGAGGTGGATAAAGCAAAAGCTTATAGCTGCATGGCAGTTCCCACCCCACCAAGAGTTCATGGTTGCTTTCCCCTGAAGTTGGGTTTGGGTTGATTTCTAGAGACTGACCTAATTCCTACTAGCCAACAGTACTTTTGGCATCAGTTTTAATGGGGACTAGATCAGGCTGATAGGTTTGCATACAAAACAAGGAGAAACCACATCTGAATTCTACTGTTACCGACCAGCAAAGACATCACAAGACTTTGGTACCAAACACTGAGATCGTGTGGCAAAAATTATGAAAGGGCATTATTTTCCTAGCAACATAACTGCCATTCAGAATGAAATCCTTGGGCTAGGAAAACTTCGAAGCATAATAAAGCACAACTCACTTGCTTTAATCAGAGCTGGAAGAAGGCTGTGATTGCCTGAATTGAAAAACAGGTTTCTCTTCCAGTGGCAAATCTGAAATTTTGTCAATTTTTATTATTGTTTTGGGCTCCCCCAATAGCAAATGAATGATGTGCTATATTTCTGAATAGATTACACACTCTTTGTCTTTTGGTATCCAGTAAGGAACAGGGACAAGATACACTTTCCCTCTTAAAACAATCTGAAAATTCCCTCTTTTCAAATCTGAAAATGCTTTGCAAGTGATTTAGCTTTTTTTCAAATGATGAATATTTAATTGAGTTAAAAGTGGATTAATGACCATTTTTTTCCCATCCCGGATTGCAGCAAGTTGTAAACTTCATTACCAGGGAACCTGGTTCTAATTGCAAAATTGATAACAGAGGTGTGAAAATTTACACCTGTGATAATAAAAACTAGTTTCTCCTCATGCATCTGCATTATATCTTCTGAGTTCTCTCAGACACATAGTCCAAATATGTCATACACGCTAGCAGTAGCAGTTAGGCTGCAGTGAGTAAAAACCCACCAAAATCTCTCCCTCAAACACAGACGCAGACCAGATGAGGAATGCAGTGCATATGAAACCATGTCTAAGCCTATCCCAACCATACAGTTGGTCTCATAAAAAGACATCACCTACAACAATCCTTGTCTTACACACACACATACACAGGCACAGGTCAGTGTGTAAAACGTGCTTGTGGGAAGAATATTGGGGAAACCAGTGTAATGTGGCAGTGCAGAGATTATAAATGTATAACATTTGACTGGGGTGATATGACCGTGGCACCCATTCCTGCCTGGGGCAGGGGGTCAGGCCTGATGATCGGTTTAGGTCCCTTCCAACCCTAAGCACTATGAAACTATGACATGGTTTTGCAGGGGAAGGGGGAGAAGGAAGACACAGGGTTGGATCCAGAAGCCTCTAGAGCCCATTGAAAGACTCCAGCACAAGGCTATGGATCAGACCACAGTTACGCTGAAGTGAGCGCTGTGGAGCAGATATGATCTCTCTCTCACACGATATATTTACTCTTTATTTTTAAATTGCTGAGGAAAGGGAAATGCTCAAGCTCCTGTTCCCAGTTCAGCAGCCATGGTGTGTTATTCAATCCCTGCTGGGAACCAGGGGATTATCCGAACGCCCAAGAGCCACAGTCACTGACCAGGATCCCACTGTGCAAGGCTGCAAAGCAACACGCTTTACAGCAAAGGACCTGCCCAAATGGACCCCCACACAAAATGAAAGACTATTATGCACAAAGGCATAATCCCAGGAATCCCATGAAAGAAAAAAAAAAAAATCAAACCCTTTCCATAAATTAATTGGCAGTAGAAACAGCCCTGTCAGGACACAACAGGCATCTCAGCACTAACTCCCAAACTAATGCCATAATCTCTGGCCCGTGGACTCAGAGCTAATGCTGAAAACTCAGCAAAGTGCCCAGGAGTTTTCCTGGGAAGACTGGGAAGTTTGGATCCAGCCCCAAAAGGAAGTGCTGTCACTCAGGATACTGTGCGCAGTCAGATGTGTAGATGAATTAGAGCCGTCAGAGTGAATCTAAGTTGAAGCCATTATCACCTTTGCACGATGCGTCTGGAAACTGGAGCGAAATACCTTTCATTTATACTGAAACAGAGGGTGCTTTAACAAGTTTGGTTTGGTTAATAACAGTATATTCAAGAGTCTTGTGACAAATGTGCTAAAGCCATAAAAGACATAACTCACCTCTTTTTCCTCCCCTGAGCACATCTTCTAATGATTTTTATACATATATTTTACTATGCACTCTGTTTCTTAAGAGATCATTGTCTCTATCTTGGCTAATTTATTAAAGATAATTGGTATGGAAGTTCCTGTTCCTTCTCCAGTGTTAAAGCTGGCTGGGTCTGTATAGGAGCATTATCTCAACAGACTGTATTTTGCTTCAGAAAAGAGATTTTTGAGATGATGCTTTTTCCACCTTCAGATGTTTTTCTTGCAGCTCATTTTAGTAGCGAGACATCCTCGGCTTCCTCTACTAACGCAAGAGACAAGAAGATGCAAGATCCATTGATTCACCTTAGGGAATACTTTGGAGAGATCAAAAAGTGCTAGTGTGCAAGCTGTTTCCTGTGGGAGGAGCACGACAGTACAATCAATCCACGAATGCATTGTAAAATCAATGCTCTGCATAATTAGGGCACTCCAAGGGTAAAAAAA